TAGGGTGTAGAATCTTACCTCTAGGATGAAAACCTAGTGAGTTTTCCTTGTTAATCATCTAAGATTCGAGCAACAATTGAAGAACAAATTGTTGAAGAACTCTCTCCCACTCTAGGGCACTCTCTAACCCTCAAAATATCAGATTTTTGCTCAAAGGATGGTACAGATCGTCTATTTAACGAAGTAGGATGGGGTTATAAAAACCCAAAAATGAAGCTCCAAAAACAGGATATGCGGTCGCATATGCGACCGCAGAATGGATATGCGGTCCGCATATCGGCCGCACAATTTGGCCCCAAAAGCTGATGTCGCCTCTCTGGGTCTGCGGTGATTATGCGGCCCGCAGACCTGTTCTGCGGTCGCATAATGCACCGCAAAACTGGTTTGCGGTCGCATAATGTACCGCAGTCTTCCTCCAAATCTTGTCCCGCATCTGCTTCACTCTGCGGCCATTATGCGGTCCGCAGAATGATTCTGCGACCGCATAGTGGGCCGCAGAAATACCCTCTTCTGCCAAAAATTTTTCTTTACTCCCCAGTGCATTGTTAAACCCAAAAAGTCCGAGCCAAGAATTTCTACAATCCCCAAACACATAAGCCTACTTCGGCACCATGAAACCTTAAATTCCTTGACGAAATACTACGGGGCCTTACAATGTCGACCCATATGACATTGTGGTGAGAGGGCTTAGCCGATCGGGCTGAGATCAGAAGTTATGTCGCGCACATGGTGGCGTTGTGATTGGATGTCTTGGGTGAGATAGCTTAGCCGATTGGGCCGTGATCAGACTCCGTGCTAATAACACGGTGGTATACCGGTACTAAAGATCTCCCAACTTAAAAATATTGAAATTTATCTTTCTCTTAACTTGACACTTTAATATTGTTTGAGGCTCGCATTGATTCTATATTTCTTTCTCATTGTACTATTACTCGTTCTATTGAGAGGGTATTTAGTCTTACATACTAGTACTATTCCATATGTACTAACGTCCCTTTTGCCGGGGACGTTGCATCTTTAATGGATGCAGGTGATTCCACAGCATGCGACATCGATCAATGATAGCAGTACACCCTCTTCTCAGCTGACTTGATGAGCCCCACTTCATCTCAGGGTCTTGTATCTTTTGTTCCTTATGTATAGTGTTTTGAGTTATAGCCGGGGCCTTGTTGCCGGCACCATCACACTACTCTTTTGTATCCATTAGAGGCTCCATAGACATAGTGTGGGTTGTATCTTGATTTTGGAAAAGTCAAACTAAAAGTGTTGTATTTGCATCACATGTTTCCACTTCTAAACTATGAAAGTGTAATGTAATATTTTGGGAACTCTTGATTGAAGTTCTAATGGTAATGAAATTGGTGTTGTCCATGTAATCTTCTCATTGTCTAATTAATGGAATATATCTTTGTATACGGGTAATACCGAGCCAATGAGCATTCCGATTTCTCAGTGAGGCAAACGGAGCAGGGACGAGACCGTAAGGAATCGGAATCAAAGCCAGGAGCATATCGTATCAGGGCTCGAGAAAAGCACCTTCTCTCGGAACCATCGAGACCACGTCCTCCGGATCCGGTTCGAGTCCCAAGACTTCGAAGAGCATTACCAAACCACCGCACATGTCTAACAAAGGGTCGTGATATCCGTACCCAACCGGATATCACGGCGTGAATCTAGGCCCGTATCGGCAGAAAATCAGTGACTAGCAAAAAGGGAGACTTTTACCTTTCTTAGAATTGTACCCACGGGGCTTCTTAGCCTCCCTACCCTCTTTCTCCTGCCTGTGGATAAGCCCTAACCTCCTAGAAATCCCATAACCCGATGAAATACAGTCTCTACAACTCCCGTGCCATCCCAAATTTAAGGTTGTATGTGAGTCCCTCAACAAATCTACGGACTCTGTCTCTCATTAGAAACCAAAGGAGCTGCATAGTGGGATAACTCTGTAAACTTCATAGCATAGTGGGTCACAGTCATACCCTCCTGGCGCAAATGTTCAAACTTACTATGCAACTCGTCCCTACGGTTACGTGGGATAAACTCCCCCAAGAAAAGATCTGAGAACTAAGACCATGTAAGTGGTGTTGCGCCAGCTGGCCTACTCGCCTCATAAGTCTGCCAACATCTGTATACTGGCCCTTCAACTGCAAGGTAGTAAAATTGACCTCGTTCCACTTCACCAAACCTAAATTACTCAGAATACGATGACACTGATCCAACAAACCGTGTGCATCCTTAGTAACCCCTATACCGAATTGGCATGGAGTCTCTGAATCCTCTCCAACCTCCTATACTTCTCACAAAATGCGACTTGCCCTACCTTAGGCAGACCTGCAACTACTTGTTGCACCGGTAGAACACTCGATGTTTAGTAAACATGATTCAACTGCTCTGGCATACATGTGGTGGGAGTCTAGGCTCCTCCCCCAGCCTATGAAGTAGCTGGTGCAACCGGATTCAACCCTGCATGGGCAAAGCTCTCAAACATACTCATAAAATCAACCTAGGTCTCTTGAACTCCAGGGGTAGACATAGGCCCCTCAGGTGCCCAAGCGGGTCCCACCAGCTCAACATGATTGGGCTTTTGTTCCTCAACTGGAGCTACTGGTGGCTCCACCACTGCTGCTTTAGTAAGGGCTCCAGTTGTGTCGCGTGCCCCACCTCGGCCTCTACCTTAGCCCTAGCCTCTCGCGGCTCTAACAAGGGGCACTGGTGCCTGCTTAGCTGATCCAGTGGAATGTGTCCTCACCATATTAGAGAATAGAAGAGTAAGGATTCAAACTTTAGAATAAACAAATTCGTACGATAAATAATGAAAGAAAGTGAAGTTTCCTAACAGCCCGGTAGCCTCTCGAAGATAAGTACAGACGTCTTCGTACCGATCTACAGGACTCTACTAGACTTGCTCATGACTTGTACAACTTATGAACCTAGAGCTCTTATACTAACTTATCACGACCCAAAATCCCACCAATGGTCGTGATGGTACCTAACCTCTAAGACTAGGTAAGTCAACCACACAATGATACGAAACATCGAAATAAGATATAATAATTCTGAATTTAACATAAACAAAAAAATAAAGCTCTGACAAAGCCAAAAAGGTAGTACATATGCCAAACTCCCAAAATTAGGCAATACTAAGTTATAAGATCTAAACAGGATATATAACGAATCTCGATAAGTACAATATTGTTTTGAAGTAATACAATAGTATAAAAATAAGAGAAGTGGACTCCAAGGGTCTGTGGCGTCCATACAACACTACCTTGAATCCTCCAGAATAGTCCAAGCTCACTTTCGATGACCGCTACCTCTAGCACCCGGATCTGCATGAAATGTGCAAAAGTGTAGCACGAGTAAGGGACAACATGTATTCCTAAGTAACAATACTAACATCGGTGAAGTAGTAACGAGGTTCAAATCATGTAATACTTACTAATCAACTAACCTATGCAACATCTCAAATAACAGACAACAAGAATATAACGAGATGTAGTACCATCAACACAACAATACAAGAGTTATTAACTCATCACAGGTAAATCGTGTTTGACAAAAGAATTATCAGTCAATAACAGAGGGATAGAGCTGCATGTTAAAAGCAACGTGAAATCAACTTGATGAGGAAAGGCAACAAGTTTCATCAACAAGAAACTTGATGAGGAACTTTATGAGGAATAGAGGGATAGAGTAGCATGTTAAAAGCAACTTTGAATGAGGAATACCAGCCTTATACTACACATTTCATCAACAAGAATGCCACCCTTGTACTCCACATATCATCACCACAAGAATGTCACCCTTATTCTCCATATATCATCAACAAGAATGACACCCTTATACTCCACATATCATCGCTATAGATTCCACCCTTATACTCCACATATCATCGATATAAATGTCACCCTTATTCCCACATACCGTCACAATAACAATATCCGCCCCAACATGGCCAAATGTGCTATAAACAAAATAATTCAATATAATATTATATTATCAAGATACATATTATCATAATTCATCAATAAAGTGCACGAGGACATGAAAATAATAGGGTGCGGATGTTGCTCAAGATATAAGACATGACTACGGCTAAATCAATTTAGCAATAGTTCCACAAATGCTCATCTTGGCTAATTAGGAAGTATTAATCTTAAAACATGATCTCTAGCATGAAAGGATAAGCTCATATAGCCATACAAAGAATTACACATGTATCATAGAACACAATCAAATCAAGGCATGGCAAAAGCCTAGAGTCTAATCCGGTTATTTTTCATACATTACACCCGCATATACGTTTATCATCCCGCATACACGTCACATCACATACATTACAATTAGACAAATAAGGTCCAAGTCTAAGGGTTATTCTCTCACATAAGATTAGGCAAGATTGTTACCTCAATCGGGCAAAATCAACCCTCCAAAATTGCCTTTCCTTTAGAAACCACCTCTGACCGGCTCGAATCTAGTAAAAACAACTCAATAACTTCAAACAAATCCATAGGAAACAACCCCAAACAATAAAGCTCCGATCTTTAATCAAATCCTCAAAAGTCAACAAGTCCAACCCGGCCCAACACGGTCAAAACCCGAGTCAAAGTATAGATCCCGACTACCCATTACCCCACGAGTCCAAATATATTATTAGATTCCAAAATCGAGTCCAAATCGACTCCCAAATCCCTAATGTTTACTCTCTTAAGTTATAGACAAAAATCCCAAATTTCCTCTTTCAAATCCCATAATCTATTTGTAATCATCCATGGGAAAACAAGATAGTATCAAAATCAAGTAGAAATCACTTACCCTTAAAGTGGTGATGAAATTCTCCCCAAAAATCGCCTCTAGCAGAGCTCCAAAACTCAAAATAACGAAAAGTAAGCTAAAGCATTGAATTATAACACTACCCAGAAAATTTTTGTATTTGCGGACAATTCTGTCACTTATGCGACACTACTTCTGCGGTAGAAATATCGCATCTGCAAGTCCACTTAAACTCCGCTTCTGTAGTCACGCTGGAGCGACACACCTCCGCTTCTGCGCAAGTCCCCAAGTGTGCCTGCTTTCGCTTCTGCACTAAACTTCGCATGTGCACTCATAGATGAGCCAACTCTTCGCATCTGGGGATCCTCCAGCCTCCAGCAATACTCGCATCTGCGATCACCTGTCCGCTTCTGTAGACTTGCACTTGCACACAAAACCATGCATGTGCGACACACCAGCACCAGAACTGCCAACCAATATCAAATTGATCAGAAACTATTTAGAAACAAACCCGAGCCCCCCGAGACCCCCCAAACCTATCCAAAGGCTCAAAATACCATAATTAACATCAAACTAAGAATCGTCATTCAAAATCAGTCTCTTAAGTTCATAAACTTCGAACTTCATACCAAGCGCCTTTTTAAGCCTAACCAATCCGGATTTTAACCAAACTTCACAAAGAAATCCCAAATGACAAAACAAACTTATTTCAAGTCTCAGACAATAATTTGGACCTGATATCACCAAAGTCAACTCCGGTCAAGAACTTTCTAAACATTTAAATTTCTAACTTCCGACAATTAGAGCCAAAACATCCTAGGACCTCCAAATCTAAATCCGAACATACGCCTAAACCAAAATCACCATGCGAACCTATTGAAACCATCAAAATTCGAATTCGAGGTTGTCTATAATAAAGTCAAATCTCGGTCAACTCTTACAACTTAAGCTTCCAAAATGAAGATAAGTGTCTCAATTCACTCCAAAACCTTCCCGAAACCAAACCCAACCATCCCTGCAAATCATCAAATATCAAATACACATACGGGGAATATCAAATAAGGGAATGGGGCTAAAATACACAAAAAATCCCTGCTGGGTCGTTACATTAACATGCTAGTTTAACATTATGAATTTCATGTACTTGTATTACATGGTAGAACTGCGTAATCATACATTATTTCCTTATATGCACCATGCTAATAGATCTAGTTCTCATCATTCATCTGAGAGTGTTCTAGCTTGTGAATTCATGTTTCATTGGACGTGTGGATTCACATTCCGGTACTAAGATATTTATTCGGGTGTATGAATTTACATTCCGCCTGCATGTGGATATAGATTTGTTCCTCTAGAGTCACTGAACATTGAAATCCCACCGGCAGTGTGCACGCAAGGTTGTGGAGACATGGATTTGTGTCTAACACGTGAATATGTGTCGATTTTGGTATAAAGGTTGAGTCTTTATCATGCATAGATATTCTAGACTCATGTAGAATCTATTAAGACACTGCTCATAACTCGTAAGACCAGGGAACCTTGCTCTGCCACCATTTTATCACGGCCCAAATCCCAACAAGTCGTGATGGTACCTAACCCAAACTTCTAGGCGAACCAACCATAACTAGTATAACCCACATCAGAAAATCATCATATTAATAAGAAACAAAAATGCGGAATTTCAATAACTATCAAATAACTAGTGTCATAAGTCATGAGCAACTATAGATAGAAATACAACACCAATATGAGAAAATACATAATTTGTTGGAATATACATAAACATAAATACAAGATCCTAGGCTACCATGAACAAATGATAGCTAATAACTGAAATACTGATTTGTCTTTAATACTCGCTCTCGAACTCGGCATACCACTAATCGCATGTACTCAGTAAGTATCAAAACTAACATCAACGAACTAGTGGCAAGATTTTAGTCAAAAGATACTCACTTTATATAACTTGTGCAATTCAAAAGCATATACAAAAATAGAGAAAAATCCAAGAAATAGCGAATATCAATAATAAGGTATACAACCAAAGAGGAAAATAATAAGCATGCCTTTTCAAATAACAAAATGCACCAAATCTGTACATAAAGAAGATATGCAACAAATAGCATTAACTCGAATGCTCTTGCTTATGGATATGTAAAGCTCCATATCTATAAGCGAGAGGCTATAGAGGCATTTAGGAAAGTGTTTCCTTTCTCTCTTTTTTTTGGATAACCGTGGTGTCCCGGTCAGCTTGCGCGCACCTCGATTAATTCTATGGGATACCTGCCACCTACCACCAGCAACAGGTACTAGATAACTCTATCCACCAAAGCTTGAATAGATGGGAAGAAATCACCTAATCAGTATTTTGGATAGCGTGCGGCGACAAATAGCGACGAGGAACCGCTTCACTGAGGCGAGAGGCGCGCAGCAACGCGCNATATATATATATAACTCAATAACAATAATATATTAATAAATATATCAATTTAAAAATATAAAAACTCAATAGATAGTCATAGTAGATTCATAAACTAAAGTCTAAAAGTCTAAAACAAGTAACATCTATTCTTCTTCAACATTTTCAAATTCTAGAACTTCATGAATGTTAGCATTATATTGGCTATCATCTTCTTCATCCTCGGAGTCTTCATCAATTAGGGACCAGCTTGAACTTGCTACTCCCTTTCACTTGTAATTTGAACTTGAAGAACTCTCTCTAAGATCATAGATATTCTCAACTCCAGCCACCATAGAAACAGTACCTCAATCAAGATCATCTCCTACATACACTTGTTCATCTTCATGATTTTGGGGGGCTCCAGTTAACCATTCATTTGCCTCGTCAATGTTATCCAACAAAATTGGATCAATGGTATCGCGAGCTTCATAACGTCGCCTCAATGTTCTATTATATTTAATATACAGTAGATCATTGAGACGCAATAGCTCAAGCCTATTCCTTTTCTTGGAGTGAATCTGCGCATAAATTGTTTAGATTAATTAATAGATACTAATAATAATATAATATAGAATATATTGATATAATAAATCTGCTTCTTACATGCTCAAATACGCTCCAATTTCTCTCGCATTCAGATGCACTACAAGTTAGGCTTAGTACTTTGATGGCAAACTTTTGCAAGTTTGGAGTTTGATGTCCAAATTGCATCCACCATTCAACTACAGAAAAATATTCTAAAAGTTAATAAGTATAAATCAAAAAAATTAAATTAAAGCTATAAGGATACCTGGCGACCTTATGTCTCTGGCTCTAATGGCCGCCTGTAAACCAAATAGGCCATCTACTTGTAAGTACCTACCAAACTCCTCCCCTATTTGATCTATCATCGCTAAATCGGGGACCAACTTCTCAAGACATTGATGGTATCCAACCCACACCTCTGAATCCAAAGTGTCATCTCTGGTGTTCTTGTAAAATAATTCCGGGTTTAGAAGATGGCCTGCTGCATGCAAAGGTCGATGGAGTTGATTCGACCACCTGCTATCAATAATCTCAAAAACTTTCTCATATTTCCTAACATCTCCCTCAAATGACGTTTCCATAGTCTCTTTGGCTCTATGCATAACTTCATAAAGATAGCCCATTGGTGGTTTTCTCTCCCCATCCACCATACGAAGCACCCTAATCAAAGGACCACCAACTTTAAGAGCTCGAACGATGTCATTCCAGAATGATGGAAAAATAAGAACTTTGGTAGTTTCTTTCCCTGCAGCTTCCTTTGCATATCTATTATCTTTCCATTCATTGGCAGTTTCAACCCAATGTATGCAGGTGGAGGTGTAAGCACAATACCAAAACTCTACTCAAGCGGCCCTGCCGC